AATCAATATGGGATGCTCAGGGTTGTGTATTTGCAGGTATCGCACACACACACAGAGAAACGCAGGCAATGCTGCTAGTTGGGGGCTTGGTGGTGATCATGACCGGATGCTTGTTGGATAAGACGGGCAGGCAGGAAACATGCAAAATCTCATGGGCTTGACAAAGTTTAGTGGTGCCGGAAACCATGCTTTTCATGGAGTACTTTGTCATGCTTGTAGACAAGAAATGCATTGTACTTGGTATCTATATATATATATATATTATTATTATTATCATGATTATTAATATTATTATTATTATTATTTTTATTCTATATTTATTTATGCGGCCCTACGAGCAACCGCCCCCGGAGAACCTCCAGGGACTTGCCTCAACTGACTCCAATGCCTCTTGCCTTGATGGAAGGCTGGGGCGGGCAAGATCTCTCCGGCAGCAGACCAGCCGCGTGCTAGAAAGTCGTCCTGGGCTCGGCATTGTCAGATCCAACCGTCATACTACCGTGCAAAATTCAGTCTATGATAGTCTATGTACGATCTGCACTTTTTTCAAGCCGTGGGAACCGTTTGGTTTAATTCTGCAGATCTTTGCCGTAGAACTGTGGCTAAGGCAACTGCGCCTGTGTATATGGCTCACATGCTTTGACAGCACGTGACAGTGTGCCGGACTAGTGGTTAAGGCATGGCCAATACGTCTTTGAATAGCCCAGTGGCACCTGTAAGCTTCTCCGCAAAGCATCGCCTAAGTGTCACCATCTACCAACCCTAGTTTGTTGCATCTTTCGGGCTTGCATCATGGCATCCGTGGCAGCGCCTCTGCTGCTGTTTCGGCCAGCGATTTTAAGTGCCCTCAGCCTCAGTGCCCAATTGCCGCTGTACTGTCTGTGTCGCATGCCACGACCTTGCTGAATGTCCGTCTGCACGCAGATATGAAGCTGCGCATTGCGGATTGTGGGAGGAAGTGCCGCATCCTTCATGTTGACATGCGTCGACTGTGACTTAGGTTGGCCCCGTGGTTGAGCGTCGCAAGGCAGTGGCGGTTTCTGAGCTTTTTGGCACTGTTACAGCACGAAATGTAAGACTGCAGGTGGATGGAGCTAGTGAGGATAGCGGCCATGCAGTGCTTCCCATTCAGTTTTAATAGAATGCTGTCACAAGCTAGTCAGCTAGTCGTACCAACAACTGCGCGCACAAGCTGAGGGCTGCGACGCCCAGGCATGGATTTCAGCTTTTGAGCGGCTTGCCTGACACAGAGCAGTTTCCCTCGGCTCAGAGTGTGATGGTACTTCATGTTCACTCAAAGCAAGGTAAACGGTGTGGATATCAGGCTGAAGACTTTGCACGCTTCAGGCGACATCTTGTCGACACACCGGCACACTCTCGGCGACTGCCCCCGACATGGTCAAACTTAGGTCCGTGACACACACACACACACATTTTTTACTGAAGTCTAGGCTCTAGGCCTGGCAGGTTGTTGGTCAGCACAGATGCTCAGGTGGTTACTTGCTCAGCCACATGCTGTGGCGCCGATGGCGGCGTCAAGAGTCGAGGCTCCTTTGCACACAGCATGATGCTGTCAGGGAGACGGCTGTCGGCGTTGCATATGTTGAAGCGCAGGGCTCCATGTTGACATAAAGCCGATTAGATGGTTGGCAGGACAAGGTTGACTCGGCTGTTGGGCTGTGTGAAGCTTGGACGGTAGTTCAGGCCGTGAGACCTCTCGCAGTTCCCGAGGCAGTTTTTGAGCATTCTGTGGCTTCCTTGGTATTGGGGTTTGTGAATTGTGAATGTTTTTTTTGATCCTATGAAATTATCTTTTTGCGTTGTCTCATCTGTTTGTGTTTGTGGTGATTTCTGTTTGTTTCGTGTGTCATTCTTGAAGTTTCTGTCTTTTTCTCGTGGTCTTGCTTTGTTGGCTTTACAGCTACATTCACTGCAAAAGAATAAGTGGCAACAGCAAGATTTTACTTGCAGTGACTCGTTCATGCTCGTTCGCGCAGATCCGAGAGGGGATCTGTGAGGTTTGATTAAGCCTTGGATGGGCTTGCACTCCCGCTTGATCTCATGGCCCTTCATCCACTTCATGCAGGTTGACTCCCATAAATTTCGGCAAGCTTGACAAACTGAAGCAAACCTCAGCCTGCAAATCTGAGCTCCAGAAACCTCCTGCGATCTGGGCCAGGCCTGCCGTTTGCGTGGCCGCGTCCAAACTCTCCATCCTTGAGGCCAGAGAGGGAGGAACCATGAAGAACCCTCTGCCAATGCCAATGAAGATGCATAGAACGACGATGCGGTGGCATTTCACAGGCTGGCAGCCGCTTGCAGCAGAGCGCTCGGGAACTAATCAAGCCGCATGGCTGCAAGCGTGGCAACTGGCATAGGATCGGTGGTTGTGGACTTTTAGCATGTGTCCCCACGCGACGAACGGCTCCATGTGATCCCAGGAAAAACGGCCAAGGCATTGTTTTCAGCACCTTGCCTGCAGCAAGCGCGGTCAGCCTGCAGGCCCTGCCCACTTATAGTGCTTCTTCCCCAGAATAGGTGATAACACTTCGGAGGGCTCAAATGGATTTCTCTGCGGGGCGGGCATTCTCGCCTATATCGCATCCTGGTCACAGTCCTTTCGCAGTGATGTGCTGGCCGTGGTGCTTTGGGTGGAAGTACTGCTCCCCGTTTGCCTTCAAAACGCCCGAAGTCCCTAAGGTCCTGACCCACACTTTCGGGTTGCCTTGGCAGAGAGTCTTCTCCGTCCGCCAGTGTTCAGCTGCTTAAGAGCTGTCTCGACACGCTGCCGCAGCGAGGTTATCCTCTATGCTTTGGACTCAATGCTTGCATTTGTCTCGTCCTTGGCGGAACTTCATATGCGCCTCGGAAGAGACTTCAGCATACAGCGATTGAGCTGGGTTTTGCTCGTAAGCACCGAGGTCTGGACTCGAAGGTGCAGGCCACTCGTTCTGTGCCCATTCCATGTGGACACGAAGCTGCTGCTTGATGAAGTTGATGGGAACTGCTGAGACGCTGTGGGATCAACCGCGCGACTTCAACTTTCGGTGCGAAATTCAACTCATGCGGACCTGTGGCGAGCGTGCGTATGGCAGCAGCGTAGCAGGGGCTCTCCCACCGACTTTGGACTTCGGTATCCCTGTTTCTTGCTGGTGGGAAGTTGCGATCCACCCAACTACGTGCATGAATGGCACTAAACTGAGTGATGTGATGCAGCGTGCTAGCCATGGCATCTGATCTCAGGTTCGGCTACTTCACAGCCATCTACCTAAGCTATGGCACATTGTGCTATCCCTTGCCGCGTGTCTGAAAGTCAGTGCTCGTTCCGACACATCTCGCATCAGCGCATGCTTTCTGGTCCCCAGCTATCCCCAGTTGAACTCGTTAGGCAGCTGGGAGCCGCTGTGGCGCTGGCCCCAAAATTCAGCCGCAGCTTCCGGAGGCTGAAAACACGCATGGGGCTCCCAGGCAGAAGATACTGAGCGGAAGGATCACATCAGCTCTTGCAGAGCGGCGAGCAGACGCCCTAATTAACCCTCAAGAGAGCTTGTGCTCGGAGTTGGTTTGGGTGGCGGCGCCGAAGGAAACACTGTGCTTCGTTTTTGCTCACATCTCGATCTCAACCCGGGCTTTTGTACTTTACACCCCCACCACCTCGCTCCCGCCGAAGTGCGGACAGATGCTCTTGTAGTCCGTGGAACACTGAGCACATCCAGGTGTGGCATTAAGATTGCCATTGGCATTAGCCCGAGCTCCAGCTTTCACATGTTCAACTGGGCTTGGCCATTCGATTGTAAGTCGAGAACTCATCCGATGATCCAAGGCTCAACTGGTTCGTGGCAGGTGCTTGGCTGCTGACTCTCATTGCAGTGAGCCCCTTCCATGCAGCCGATTCTGTGTTGCTGCATTGTTTTGAAAGTTCTGCACAGAGGATCCAGGTTAGCACCTGCGGAGGTAGAGACACAAAGGCCTTGCATCCCTCCCCCCTTCTCGGCAAAGCCTGCCAGCCGTTCTCGACATTTCTGAGGTTTGATTGCAGTGATGGCTGGAATCGTTTTCGCATTGGCGCTGTGGCCAGGTTTCCCTAGCTACAGGGTTTGATGCGTGACTGAAGATTCCCCGCAGTTGCGGGTGGAAAATGAATTTGGCCAAGCTTGACAGCCCCTTGCTTGTTGTACCCTTGGGGCAAGGCCAGGAGGCACAAAACACACCAGTTGTGGGGTGCCGAAAGTACAACGGCCCCGTGAGTTTGGAAGGGCCCATCGATGTGACGGCTTGTCGCAGCTGCACGAGTCTGTTGCTGGCAACTGGCAAAGTGACTGGGTTTTGTTGCTGTTGTGGAGCAGAACAGCTGCCAGGATTTTTATGGTCACCGGTCACACTTTGTTGACGGAACAGGCTGTGCTAGCAAAAACAGTTGCTGCGTGTGAAGCGCTGAGGCTCAAAGGGTCTTTGCTGCTGATCGAACCTCGTAGCTGCGAGCAAGGCGAACATGATGTGACAAACCTCCACATGTTAGCTCTTTCAAGCCAACGGTGCGAGATCAGGTTCGGCTGACATGTTCCTCGTCGCACAAGACCGCCGGGTGTTTGCATGATGCGATGCGAAGCCTTTATCTATACGTAAATCCTTCAGCTGACATATTGACTCCCGAGGTGGCCGACGCACTCCCGGACCCCGCCACGGATGGTGGCTCGATTCAAGATTCTGCATGCTGGGCTGCCGTGACATGCCCACTGCCCACCTCTCCCGGGGATAGTCGAACACGGTCAATGCGACGGTAGAATTTCTCGCGTTTGGGTGTCATTTGTTGGTTCGTTCTGCAGACAGGCCGCGGACCATCGGTGGCGGTCGTCTGCCAGAGATCAAAGGCTGCTCCAGGGTCCACAACGGCCACTGGTTGCTGCTAGCTGAAGTTGGTTCCTGTGGGAGAGACAATCAACTTCGCAAGGCTGCATCAGCGACACAGAGAAGCAGAAGGCACCCGCTCCCATCCAGTCCAGACTCCAAGCGCTGCTTGTGGTTTTTGTCGATCCGCATGCCAGGTGAAGGAACTGCCCAAGAGCTGCAAACTTACTGGTTTGCTTAAAATGGTATGATTAATGTTACATGCCGTCTTGTTGATTGCGTGCCACCGCAGCTGCAGCGATGTTCTGCTGATCTGCTTGTGGCACAGCATGTGGGCCTCAGCCTGCTTCTGTCCCGAGGTTCTGCGAACACGAGGCCCAAGAAGCACTCTGGACCTCAGGAGCCTGCTGGTACCGAAGCGTCTGCAGACGCGATAGATTCCGATGGAGCCCCTGCTCGTGATCGAATTGCATAGACGACTGACCACTCCATGTATCGGCTGCAGTGAATGGTGATGAACGGACGAATTAGGACAGTATGACGCCTGGGGAGCTTGACGTTACATTGGATAGGTTCTTCTCTTGTTGTGAACCTCATGCTCGGCATTGTGCTAAATGCAGGACGTGTCGCTGGAAGCAGCCTGTGCCTTCTGGAATATAGCGACTCCAGCCGAGGCACAATTGCCTGGGCTGAATGAGTTGTGCCACCGCATCGTAGGATAACGCATCATAGTCTTGTAAATAAGAATTCTATAGAGACGCTGTTCCATCCAATGCCAAAGGCACCCTGCTGTCAGTCACTGTGCATCCTCACCTCAGTGCGCCGGTGCCCAACAACACACTTCAGAATCCTATGAATTCAGCATAACGAGATTATCTTCAGACATTGCTGGTCCGGTCCGGAGACCACAGAACGGACTGTAAAAGCTTTGCAAAGGTAGTTGCTTTAGCCTAGCTGCTGGGCAATCTCGGTTTTGCTGGCCAGGAACGTCGTGCACAGCAGGCACGCCGCGAGTTTAGATGCTTTTTGTTGCACGGGCAGCAAGGGTCTCTGATAGAAGATGGGTCATGTCACCAAGTCCGAACCAGCCCAGTTTCGAAGGCCTGAAGTCAACAGATTGTCCCGAATGTCACGGATGATCCCGATCCAAAGCGCCTACATGTGTTACTTGCGTCTCTGCGAAGGCTCGGCGTAACACCAGCGCTGTTCCCAGCTGACAGCAGGGACTGCAAGACAAACCAGGGTGGCGGGTGTTACGTCCCAAGCTTTGAAAAGCTTACGTAGTTTCCGACCATCCAAATGCTTGTGAGTGCCCTTCTGATTTGACCCTGCCGGCAGAATAAGCAGCAAGCGCAGACTGTCACGGATGCATGAGCTGCCTCAGTCTGAGGAGGCATTTCGCATTGGGAGGGCTGGTTACTGGATATTGTTTATTACTCAGTTTTTAGACTCAGCCTGAGCGGCTCCTGCCCGTGTCTGGTTTGGAGCGCAATTCAGCAGCAACCGAGGCAAGGACAGCCAGAAAGGAGCCTTCGCCTCAGGAGCATGTCGCGAGGGCCGCGACGGTTCGAACGGATTCCTTTGCCTGTATCTTTGCTCTGGAGAGATGTATTCATGTCCCGAGGCTAAGTACTCCGGCGAAGATGCTGTCAGCCGCGTGTTGAATGCGGGTCCTGGAGCTCCTGAGCCGTTCGCCAGAAAGTGGTTGGGCTGGTCACGCTTGGTTGGGTAGGCCGGTAGGATCGGGTAGGTATGGTTGGTTTGGATAAGACAGGTGAGTGGGTGAGAGGGTTTTCGCCTGCACGCGCAACTCGCGGTTGTTCGCTGACTTAGCTCAGGCTGGCTCGAGCCGTTGGCTTGCCCGTACAGGTTGCCAAGGAGGCGGGGCTATGGTAGCTTCCTGAGAACAGGCGTGACATGCGCTAAAGTGCTTCTACTTCGGACGATGACCCCAAGTAGCTTCCGCTTCTGTTTTTTTCGCAAACCCGGCCTTTTGGCCCAGCCCTAATTAGCATGCAGGCGGCGAGTTTGTTCCGCCGGTTTGGCAACATCCCCTCCAAGGGACCCTCGGCTGCTTTTGTCATGTCAGCTGACATGGAACCGGCTTTAACAGAGCTGAGGCTCTTGCTAAAAAACAGAGCCGAGGCAGCCTCTTTCAAGGAAAACTGCAAATGTCACGGCTTCCAGATGCCCCACGCTCAGTCCAGAGATCAGACAGACAGATTGATATGCCATCTTACTGCCGCAGCTGCCTCTCGCAAATTCCAAGCCTGCTCTGATGTGTTGATGCAGATGACACCGCGAAGAATCCTTGAGAATCGGGAAAGTGCTGGACACTTGTCACCAACTCTCTCGAAGCATTGCAGGTCCTTGTGGCTCTCTGCAGCCTGGCACGGTTTGGCCTTCTGAAGCTATTGCTTGCAAAGTGTGGTCCTGGTGTCAGTGTCGTCAGAAATTCATTGCTGAATTGCCGGCATGTCTGTGTGTGTGAGAGCCTCTCCAAGGAAGTGCTTGAAGGACAAGTTTCGAGACGTGTAGTTAAGGCAGCTTTGCATCAGGGTGTTTCGACAAGTCAGACGGAGCAGGTTCAATGAACACTTCGCTCTTGAACTTGTCCGTGTCTCTCAGCTCTTGACTCTTGGCCCTGGGCTGTCCTTCCGGCAGTCGTGTGAGGTGACGTGACGGAGATCTCCGAGATTTCGCAGGCTTGTCAAACCCTTTGCTGCTTTGCAGAGGCTGCGATTGTACTAGTTATTCGCATCAGTCGGATGATCTCGAAGGGAGGGAGAGGGATAAGTTGCTGTTCATGATTGTCGGACATAGTCTCCCAAGCTCGCGCCAGAGGAGTTTGTGGACTGGGCCTTGAAAGCGGCAGACAGAGATTCTAGCGACTTCGAAGCTATAGTTACACACTACAACCTTGAAGCTTGAGGCATTTTGAGGCCTTAAGTTTGGTCAAGGATCGTCATGCAGGAGATCCCGCTCTATCATTCAGCCTTTCCCCTGTGAGGTTGAATTCTGCTAAGTGTGCTAAGTATGCTGCAGTACACAGCATCGGCGGCTACAGGCCTCAGGTTCAAATCCAGAAGTTCGCCCCGGCCAAGGTAGCTCTATGGACGTCCAAGAGTTCGCGATCTGGTACTCTTCCTTTTGCTTTGCAGAAGAGGTTGTGTCCTCAGGCCAAGGTTGAAGCGCAGGAATTTCAGGCTTTTGGAGGGTGCCTGTGCAGATTTCGTAGCGGGTGGATCCCTCAGGTCACAGTCAAGCCAGAGGTGCGGGAGACTCGCGAGCTGGCACGACAGATGGGCTTGGAGATTGGTGGCTTGGCAGGAACTTGGGGAGTGCGTGGTTGCACTATGCACCAAAGATCAATTCTGAGGTCAGATAGAGCAGTTCAAGCTCCTTGGAAGCAAAAAGCGGAGCATCGCAGGGCACTGCAGGAAGGATCCAAGTGATCCGAGTACGAGTCTCCGCCTTCTCTCCCTCGCTTTGCTGGCTCTCATAGCTCTCTTGCCTTGGGTCAGCTGAGCTCAGGGTGGCCTTCGACAGGCACCGGCCCCGGAAACCAGCAGGACACAGGGAGCGCCGTCCGTTCGGCCGTTCGTTGCTTTGAGACTTGAAATCGAATGCTTTCTCCAAAGATAAAGATGCATTGGGTTCATGGCGGCGGCAAGGAGTGGGAAAGGTGCAGGTTGAGAGGAGACTGAACGCAGCTTGTAAAGAGAATGTTGGCCGGGCATCACATGCTGCCACAGTTCAGCCTGCACAATGACATAGCGAGTAACGAGTAACGTGCCTGCCTCGTGATGCGACAGCCACCAGCTGACACTTCAGCTTAGCACTATGCGAGATCCGCGGAATCTAAAGATCTCAGAACAGGCCAGGCAGGCCACAGTGCGTGCTCTCGACCTCAAAGGTACGACGAGGATGGAAGCGGTGAGATCGAGTTCGAGGAGTTCTCCAACATGGTACAAGAATTGCTCAAGGCCGTGTCTGAGACGTTGGGTGTAGGCAGCGAGGGTCAATGGTACTCTATCATGGAAGGTGTCGGCACAGCGACGCACCCGAATGGAACAGTCACTTTACATAAATCGTTGCGACAGTGAAAAAGACATGACAGAGCCATGAGTGGCTGTCTATCCTTCAAAGCATGCTTGACGCGAAGCATGTTTGCCGAGGTGGTATAGTACAAAAATAGCTGCATGTTTGATCACCATTGGCCATGCAAGAGCCTTCGCCAACGTCTCGTTCGC